TTAGGCCATGTCTACACTGGCGGCTTCTTGCGCAAGTACAACCGTTCTTGTGCAAGAATCCGCAGAGCATCCACACTGCCCGTCCGCTCTTGTGCAAGGAAATTTACAGTACGACGCGGTAAGAGAGGGATTCTTGCGCAAGAGCTATGCTCTTTTTTTATCAGGTGTAAGCGCTCTTACGCCAGAGCTCTTGCGCAAGAGGGCAGTGTGGACGCTTGTCAGGGATTTCTTGTGCAAGAAACCCCTATGGCTAAAATGGCCATCGGAGCTTTCTTGCTCAAGAGAGTGTCCACACTGCCACGGATGCTTTTGTGCAAAAGCACAGCTCGCACATGGCAGTGTGGACGTGTTCTTGTGCAAAAAGTCTTGCCCAAGAACCCTTGCACAAGATGTTCTTGCGCATGAAGTCGCCAGTGTAGACATAGCCTTAGGTAGCTATTGAGCGGCTGGTACCTACCTCCTGGGTGAAGCTACAAACCTCATGGGGCAGGGTGGGGGGTTGAGCTCCACATCTGGGCTGTTGAATTCAGCTTCCGCTGCAGCAGGAGAGGCGCTGCCCAGGGCAGGCGGTGTTAGGAGGGGCAGGGGATGACCTGCTGGATTGTGGCTTCTCCTCGCCGGGAAGATGCTCCTGTAGCTGCATCCAGCTAACGCTCCTGGCCCCGGTGATGCGACCCCCTGCACCGGCTCCATCCGTGCCAGAGTCCTGGGCTGGGCCGCTGTGTGTGGATACGTTGTTGCAAGCTCGAGACATGACACCCAACTGCTCATTGGGACGCTCTGTGCTTGGGACCGACAGGAGCACTGGAGTTGCCGGGCTGGGCATGCTCAGTCCGTCAGCCCTGGCTGCAATCGAGTATTTAAGGCAGGCCTGTTTCTTGCTTGCGTGAGCCCAAGTCGGGGCTGGTAGTGACCTCTCTGCATTCTCCTTGGGGGGCGCTAATGGGCCATGTTCTCTTCCCCCAGCGCTCCCCCGGCAGTGCTGTTCTGACGTGGCTCCAGACCGCGGTGACGGGATGGCTGGGCCCCATCTGCACCCCTTGGCTGCCGTCCTGGGACTGGCATTGCTTGGTGTCCTGGTCTTCCTCTCCGCCTTGTGCGCTGCCTGCAGAAGGTACGTGGCTGAGCCTCCCTCTCGCAGTAGAAACCGGGAGTCAGGGTAGAGCGGACCTCGGGGGGTTCCCTATGGGCCATGGGGAAGGGTGAATTCACACCTGGATCTCCTGCGGCTGCAGGAGCGGCTGGCTGTGGGTTGGCACCTCCTGATGCAACCAACCAGCCGTGGAGGGCTGCATGCTGGGGCAACCCGTCCTAGCACCTCAGCTGGATTTGGGGAGCGCTGTTGCCTGGGGTGAAACTCCCTACTGCAGCCCTGCAACTAGATTCCAAAACCAGATCCCCTCCCCTCCCCCTGCCAGCTCAGTTCCCAGCATCAAAGCAGGAGCAAGGCTGCACTGGCTGCGGAGGGGGGAGTCAAAGGCCGGTATCTCCCAAACCGACTGCTGCTTCCAGCCAGCCCAAACCACAAGGCACCAAGCCCAGCCAGGCTCCCAGTTCCCAGAGCAACTCCCAGCCCCGCCAAGGGTTAGAATCAGCCTAGGACATACACAATCCCAGAACCAGAAAATACCTTGAGAGGGCATCGAGCCGAGTCCCCTGCCCTCAAGGCAGGGCCTGGCGCCGTCCAGATCAGGGGTCAGCGACCTTCCCAAACCAAAGAGCCAAACTCCATCCACATTCAGGACAAGTGGCCAACAAAGAACCAGGATCGGAACGCCCGTTGGCATGGCCCAAAATATACAACTTCATATTGTTGAGGATTGACATGATGATTAGTAACAGCGTCAATGAAACTGCACTCGCAGACTTTATTGAACGGGACCGCTGCTGCTGGGGGTGCAGTTTGTGGAGGGGGTGCAGGGGTCGGGGTGCATGAGGGGCTCAGGGCAGGGGATTGTGGTGCGGGAGAGGTGCAGAAGGCAGGGCGCTGGGAAGGGAAGTAGAGTATGGGGGGGAGCGGGGATTTGTAGGTAGGGTTGCCAGGTGTCCGGTTTTTGCCCGGACTATCTGTGACTTGGGTCCCCTGTCCGGTTTAAAAAAAAAAAAAAAAAAAAAAAAAAATACCAGACATGTGAAATGTCCAGTATTTCCTGTTTCCCTCAGATGGAAGCCTGGCGGGGACAATTTTCCCCTGCTGCATCTGGCGGGGGCAGGGGAGTGAGGAGCGCGGGGCCATTTAAAGGGGCAGTGACTTTTTTCCTGGTGGGTTTTTTTTTGGTGGGGGGGATGTTCTGTATTTCTTGTTAAACCATCTGCCAACCCTACAGCATAACAATTTTTAACTTCTGTTCCTTGCTCTGGGCGGTTTTTTTTTGCAGGGGGAGGGGGGGAGCGTGTTCGGTATTTTTTGTTTAAACCATCTGGCAACCCTATTCGTGGAGCCAGATTACTTTACCTGGCTGGGGCCAGGCTGCTGCACTTGGGCAGCAGTGGCTGGATGAGGGGCCAGGCCAGGATTTCCAAAGCTGGACCGTAGCCTCCCTTCCTACCCCTGTTTCTGGGCGGTTTTTTTTTGCAGGGGGAGGGGGGGAGCGTGTTCGGTATTTTTTGTTTAAACCATCTGGCAACCCTATTCGTGGAGCCAGATTACTTTACCTGGCTGGGGCCAGGCTGCTGCACTTGGGCAGCAGTGGCTGGATGAGGGGCCAGGCCAGGATTTCCAAAGCTGGACCGTAGCCTCCCTTCCTACCCCTGTTGCAGCAGGAGGGTAGGGACCCACCGCCAGACCTTCCCGCAGCCTGAGGGTCGGATTACGGGACAGAGGTCTGGACGCTGCGGCCAAATGGGGGATGGGCCCCGACTGGGGCCTTGTTGGCCAGGCTGGTGCAGCAAGGGCCTGAGCCAGGCCCTCGCGGCCGGGCTGATGCAGCAGTCACAGGGCGGCTGGGACTGGGCTGTGGGAGCACAACGGCTGGGGACAGACCACAGCCGTCACAGGGGGGCTGGAGCGGGGCCGCGGCGGCCAGATGGATGAATCTGCCACCGCCCGCCTCTCTCACTATCCCAGCTGGGCACACACACGTGTCCTCCACAGCGTGCCCTCAGCAGGCCCTTTAAACGAGCACAGGGCCCCAGCCGGCTCTCGCCGCAGCACAGCCGGTTCTTACCGGGGTGCGCCGCCTTCCTTACACCTCTGGGCAAAGGGACAATAGAGGTAAAAAGACCCTCGTGGCAGGAGCGATGACACGGCTTTTATACATTGGAATTAATTTTTCATTTTAATTGTAAAAGTTGGGTGTGTTGTGGGAATGACCAGCGAGCCAGACTTGGATCCGTACTGCGCCGTCTTTGGCTCAAGAGCCGTAGGTTGCCCACCCCTGGTCTAGATCATCCCTGAGAGGTGTCTGTCCAACCTGCTCTGAAATATCTCCAGTGATGGAGAGTCCACAACCTCCCTAAGCCATTTATTCCGGTGTTTCACCACCTGGACAGCCAAGCAGCTTTTCCTACTGTCCAACCTAAACCTCCCTGGCTGCAATTTCAGCCCATTGCTTCTTGTCCTGTCACCAGAGGCCAAGGAGAGCAATGTTTCTCCCGCCTCATAACACCCTGTTAGGTACCTGAAAGCTGCTCTCATGTCCCCGCTCAGTCTTCTCTAAACAAGCCCAGTTCTTTCAGTCTTTCCTCATAGCTCACGTTTTCTAGACCTTTCATCATTTTTCTGGCTCTTCTCTGGACCTTCTCTGGTAACTCCACGGCTACATCTACACTGGCATGAATTTCCGAAAATGCTTTTAACGGAAAAGCGACGAGGAGTCCTGTGGCACTCCTCGTCGCTTTTGCAGATTCAGACTAACACGGCTACCCCTCTGATACTTAACGGAAAAGTTTTCCGTTAAAAGCATTTTCGGAAAGCACGTCTAGGTTGGCAGGATGCTTTTCCGCAAAAGCACTTTTTGAGGAAAAGCGTCCGTGGCCAATCTAGACACGGTTTTCCGCAAAAAAGCCCCGATTGCTTTTTTCGCGTTCGGGGCTTTTTTGCGGAAATCAGTACTATGCTGTCTACATTGGCCCTTTTGCGCAAAAGTCTTTCGGAAAAAGACTTTTGCCCGAACGGGAGCAGCGTAGTTTTTCTAGAAAAGCACTGATGATTTTACATGAGATCGTCAGTGCTTTTGCGGAAATTCAAGCGGCCAGTGTAGACAGCTGGCAAGTTTTTCCGGAAAAGCAGATGATTTTCCGGAAAAACTTGCCAGTCTAGACACAGCCCACCTCTTTCCTGACATGTGGTGCCCAGAACTGGACATGATACCCAGCTGCGGTGTAATCAGCGCAGAGTAGAGGAGACTGCTCCTCTCTCCACTTCTCCGCAGCCTGACCTCCTCCTGGCCCCTGCGCTTCCCAGGCACAGCAGCTGCCCTTCTCTGTAATCAAAAGGGGGTTGGGCACATCTGTCCCCCGGTGAGACCTGCCGTACCTTCCCCACTCGAGGGACCCGCACAAACCGGTCTCCTTGCAGAGGTGGGGCTCGAACTGATGGCCAGAAGGAAGTGTCCTGAGAATGGCCTAGACAGGTTAGGGCAAAGGGCTGCCCCTTGGAGGTGGAGCCAGGCCATTGCTCCCAGAGTCATCTTGCCACGTGGGTGGAGTGTGGCTAATCGCACCACAGAGATTTAGAGCCGGGAGGTTAGCAGAGCCTGAATTGCAAAGGGGGGAGTGATCCAGGCTGGGCAGGACCCCGGTCACAGCTAAACTCCCAGTACCACTCTCATCCCCACCCCCACCCCCCGCCTGCTCCATGGCAGCAGCAGGAGCCCAGGAAAGCTGCCAGGGCTCGGTGGCATGTGTCCGTCCCACCATAGCCTCATCAAGCACTTCCCGTAGGCTGACACGTAAGGAGGGCGCGGCTCAGCTGCCTTTTGAAGCAGGAGACTTGAGGTTTCCACCCGAGTTAGATGCAGCCGAGCTTGTTGAAGATCTTGGTGAGGTAAAGGGAATGAGCAGGATTCCTACACCGAGCGCAGCAGGAGCAAGCCTAGTTGGGGGCCAAGTAGCGACTGCCCTCTGCAGAGCCGGGCTGCATGGGGCGTGAGTAACCAGCCAGCTCTGCACCACCCAGGCCTGGCTGGCAGGGGCACTGGAAAGATACAAGGCAGGACTGTGGCAGGAATCCAGAGTGGGGAACGCTCGCAGGAGCCCATGGGCCTGGCTCCAGAGTGGGGAACACGCTCCAGGCATGGGTGCCGTGAGGTGGGCACGGAGGCCACGCACCGTGACAGCCGTCGGAGCTGTGCAGTGCTGACAGGATACTGTGTCACGGACGTGCGGCCGCTGGTGCCCAGGCAGGCAGGATGTGGTGTGTTGGGCTCCGATCAGCGCAGCTTCGCGATGCACAGGAAGCGGAGCGCGCTCACTGAGGGGGCTCTCACGAGGCTCATTCCCCTTTCAGGAGACGCCCCTGATAGCCAAATCGTTCGGCAGGAACCTCAGCCTCTGCTAGAACAGTGATGGGCACGGGGCCAGGCCCTGGAGACCCGGGGCTAGCACAGCCATTACCGTGGGTGATTAGCATCCCCCAGTGCTCCACGGAGAGGCCGAAGTTTTGGAATGTGGGGGGGCTTTTTGGGTGCCCAACTGGAGATGTCTCGCTGGGGCTTGCGCCTGGGCGCGGGTGCAGGGAGGTGGGTGCAAGTGTGACGCGCCTTGTTGTGCAGGCTAAAGATTGAGCTCCCTGGAGGCCTCCCTAGTGGGGCCCCCAGAAACGCTGATCACGCTTGAAAAGGTGGCCCTCTGGGCCACGGGGCAGTTCTCACGTGGTGCTTGCTGGCAGACCCTCGGCTCGTGTGCATAAGAACGGCCACACTGGGTCAGAACAACGGTGCATCCATCCCAGTGTCCTGTCTGCCGACAGTGGCCAATGCCAGATGCCCAGAGGGAGGGAACGCAACAAGTAATTCTCACCTGATCCCTCCCCTGTCCCCCACCTCCAGAGAAACAGGGGCTAGGGACACTATTCCCACCATCCTGGCTAATAGCCGTTGATGGTCCTAACCTCCATGAATCTATCTATCTTTTCTGAACCCTGTTAAAGTCCTAGCCTTCACCGCATCCTCTGGCAAGGAGTTCCACAGGTTGACTGTGCGCTGAGTGAAGAAAAAATCCTTTTGTTTGTTTTAAACCTGCTGCCCATTAATTTCATTTGATGGCCCCTAGTTGTTATATTGTGGGAACAAGTAAACAACTTTTCCTTAGTCACTTGTTCCACACCAGTCATGATTTTATAGACCTCTATCATATCTCCCCTTAGACTCCTCTTTTCTAAGCTGAAAAGTCCAAGTCTTTTTAATCCCTCTTCCTATAGGACCCATTCCAAACCGCTCATTATTTTTGTTGCCCTGTTCTGAACCTTTTCCGGTGCACTTCACCGCCGTCCAACCTCTGGCTTAACCCTTCTCCTTTCAGGAAAGCTGGGAAGAAGAAAATCCCCCCGGATGGAGTGAAGCTGGTTGATGCGGTAAGTGCACATGTCGGCCGGACCCCAAGTCGGGGACAACCAGCAGGGGCTGCTACACGAATCCCAGAGGAGCCCGGGTGGCCCAGTGGGAGGTTGGCGGCTCTGCCTTAGCCTGGACAGAAGCTGTGGCAGGAAAAGCTCTAGGAACGGGCTTTGGTCGAGCCCCATCCTGCACGTTGCTGGGCCCCTCCTGGCTCAGTGGGAACTGAGGATGCTCCGCACCTGGCTGGAAGACTCGGGGTGGTGGGGGGAGCTGGCTGTGATGCTCCTGGAGCAGTGCAGAGAGGATACAGTGTCGGTCATAACCTGGCTCCCAGCTCAGCTGGCCCCTACACAGCTCTTAGCTAGGAGAAGCCGCCTCTCTTGCTGTCCGGAGATACACAGGAAAACTCGGTTGTTTTACTCCGCAAGCCTCAGGGGGCCGGGGTGCTCTTTAAACAGCAGAAAGCAGCCTGCTGAGCCGGAGCTGTTGCTGATTAACCCCTCGCTGGGTGGGTGGGGCTTAAATCAGGAGCTCAAATTCACCTGCGCCGCCCTACATGGATGGAGCAGGCTTGCTGGGCAGGGTAGTTTGGGGAGGGCCTGGGCTGTAGGGCACGGTGCCCCCGTCTCGTTCTCCTGCAAAATGGGTGCCGGGCAAATACCAGGTCAGACCAAAAGTCCATCTAGCCCAGTGTCCTGTCTGCCGACAGTGGCCAATGCCAGGTGCCCCAGAGGGTGTTAACAGAACAGGGAATCATCAAGTGATCCCTCCCCTGTAACCCATTCCCAGCCCCTGACAAACAGAGGTCAGGGATACCATTCCTGCCCATCCTGGCCCATAAGTATTGATGGACCTAACCTCCAGGAATTTATGTAGTTCGTTCTTTTTTGAACCCTGTTAGGGCCTGTGTACACAGCCGGGCTAAATTCGAAATAAGCTACGCAACTGGAACTATGACCATTACGTAGCTTAAGTCAAAATGGCTTATTTCAACTTTGGGCATGTCCACACAGCACTTATTTTGAAATAGCGTGTTCTTCCCCCGACATCCCTTACTCATACAATGAGGTTTACAGAAGTTGGCGTAAGAAGCCTGTTACTTCGAATTTATTTTGAAATAACAGGCTTGCTGTGTAGCCATGCCTTTCAAGTCCTGGTCTTCACAACATCCTCTGGCAAGGAGTTCCACAGGTTGACTGTGCTGGTAGATGCAAAGTACTGCATATTGGAAACCATCATCCCAAATGATGGGGTCTAAACTAGTTGTTACCCTCAAAGAAATCTTTGGGTCATCCTGGAGAGTTCTCTGAAAACGTCTGGTCATGGAGGCAGTGGCTGTCTGAAAGCTGACAACATTCAGAAAGAGACGGATAAAAAGACAGAAAATGTCATAACAGAACTATATAAATCCATGGTACACCCACCCCTTGAATGCTAGGTGCAGTTCAGGGCTCCCCATCTCATGATCGCCCACATGGTAGAGATCTAGACAGTCATGGCTGGTGTCGAGAAAGTGAGTAAAGAAGTGCTATTTACCCCTTCCCATAACACAAGAGCCAGGGGTTACCCAATGAAATGACTAGGCAGCAGGTTTAAAACAAACCAAAGGAGGTATTTCTTCACACAACGCACAGTCAACCTGTGGAACTCCTTGCCAGAGGATGCGGTGAAGGCTAAGAAGAAAAAGAATTAGATCCCTTCATGGAGGACAGATCCATCAATGGCTGTTAGCAAGATGGGCAGGGATGCAGCCTCTGAATGCCAGAAGCTGGGACTGGATCACTCGGTAATCGCCCTGTTCTGTTCCTTCCCTCGGAAGCCTCTGGCTCCCCCCGCTGCTGGCAGACAGGCAACTGGCCAAGATGGGCCACTGGTTTGACCCAGGGTGGCTGCTCTTGTGGGTCTCACAGGAGTGTGTCCTTTCTCTGCAGTCCTTGCTGAGGCAGATGCAGCTCCGATCGCTCAGTAAATCTGACACCAAACTGCACGAGCTCATCCGGGTGAAGCGCATGGACGAACGTGAGTGGCTGTCAAGTTCAACAGCAGCTGAGATCTGGCGGCTCTGGGGCTGGGAGCGCCCCAATGCTTGGGGGGAGATGGGGTCTGTACCCGAGAGGCAGTGCAGCTTTCCAGCTGCAGGGATGGGGGGGGGGTTTCTTCCAGCACCCTCTGGCAGGGCCGTGCGGTGTGCACATTCCTGCGATCATGTGTCCAAAGGGAGCACTTGCACGTGCAAGTCCTCGTGAGCACGAGCAGTGACGTGGGGAGGGGAGATGGGCAGAGCCAGGGTATTATCATTTCTCTGTCTCATCCTGCCGGAAGAGCCAGACCGCGTCCCCTCCGAGAGCTAGGGGACTCCTCACGCACCTTCTCTTCTCTTCCCAGACCAAAGGCCAGCCAGCGTGGACTTCCTCTACCCATCAGGCTCCCTGGGGGACGGAGACGGGGCCATGCACAGCTCGAGCTTCAGCATCCTGCTGCGCCGAGAGCTGCCCCAGATCCCCCAGTCCAGCCCCACGGTGGATGCCCTGAGTCCTGAGCAGACCTACTCGAACCTGCCCCTCTCCACCCCGCTGACGCCAGCCCCGGAGATCCTGTACGAGTGTGTGGCCCTGACTCAGGACGTGCCTCAACCAAAGCCCATCTCGGGAACCCTGGTGGAGACAAGCGAGGTGCACGCGGCCGTGACGGCTGAGTACGCCTGTGTCCGCAAGGTGAAGATGAACGTCCAGCCAGAGCTCCAGGATGAGACGCAGAGTGAATTGGGCGGGGGGCAGGCCGGCGACCCAGCCAGCTGCGAAGGAGCTGCCAGTGACCCCCACGCACAGAAGGTACAGTCACATCCCTCCCCACTGAGCCTACAGCACAGGGGTACGGGGGAGAGGGATGGTGTTGGCTGGGCAGGTAGGAACGCTGTGCCTTGTTCTCAATGGAAGCCCGGAGCTTGGTTTGCCATTAGCCACAGGGTCCAGTTGTTCCTTGTTTGTGGGGATTCCGGTGGCCGGGGAGATCGGTGGGAATGGTTGTATCAGCAGAAAGGGTTGTATTTATGAGCAACAGCTCCAACCAGGGGCTGTTGTGCTAGGAGCTGCAGAAACGCAGAGCACAAGGACTGCCGAGTCTGAAAGAGGGGGGTGCTTTATTCTCTGGAGGATACACGGCAGGTTTGGGGGAAAGGATCCAATAGGTCCTATCTCCTCTTAATCTACCAGTTTATTCATTACTAGCAGGTGAGGCCTGTCATTGCCCAGGCAAAGTCTGATGAAAAACAAAAATAATGATTTGAGAAACACTGGTTTAAATGGTCTGCCGAGCCACTCGGAAGTTTGTTTGCTTACCGGCTCCGCAGCCATGGAGTCTCACGGCTCCCATTGTAGGGTTGCCAGATGGTTTAACCAAAATCCCCCCTCCCCCCCAAAAAAAATTGTGGAAAAAAATTCTGTTGGGGGATGGGGGAGAAGGACTCCGAGAGTTAAGAAGAAAAAAAAAAACAGCATTAAAACAGCATGGCCCCTTTCAGTGTGTGCAGAGTCAGAATAGGGATAGCAACAGGGGAGCGGTTGAGCACTAAGACCCAGAGAAGGCATTGCTTCCCCTTGGTCTTTTGGTTTTTTGCCAGCAGCCATTTTATTTTCTTGATCAAGCCAGAACCTGGTAAGCAGAGGGTCCGGGGGCGGAGGGTAGGGGTG